TTAATTATTCATATTTCCCCATGAGCTGATTCGCTACAACAATAACTGACAAACTAGACTACAATAGGCAGGAACTAATATAGGGTGGATAACGAGGGGCAGACAGGTGAGCACAATAAGGTAACTAACTGATAATGAGGACAGGAACAACCAAATAAGGACACAGAGGGAGAAACCACAAGCGACAGTCCACAGGGGTGTGACAGCATGTGACATACAACACTTGATGTTTTGGTTTCTTTTGGAATTATTTTCATTGGTGGAAAAGAAATTGTCCCCACCCCCCCAAAAAACATAAGTAACTAAGTTTTAACTTATTGTTTATATACCTGCTATATTAAAAAGAAAATGATTCAGGGATATTGTGTGTGTTTGCCAACGTGGTTCTAAAAAATGACTGCTCCATTCCATTTTTCCATCTTTCAGTGAGGCACTTTAATTTGTTTAGGAGGAGCAAAAATAACTGCTGCTTCAAGCCATGGTGTCATAAAATTTCTCAGTTCTCAGAAGCAAATTACTTGTACCTACTGAAGACTTGATCTTACTTTGATCTTACCTTCTCACCATTTAAGATAAGAATCCAGTGAACCAGGAACTTCATCAGACAGTTTACTGCATATCAAACCAAACTTTTCAAAACATCAAGCAGTCAGAGATAATTGCAATAAACTGAAATTATAATAATCATAAAATAAAACACTATTAATTGTCATGTTAACATGTTGAACACCTTCATTAGTATCATACACAAAGTTAACGGATTGGAAATAATACAGACCAGTGTTTCTTAAGACCATATTTGGTCATAATAGGAATGTTTGTACCATAATGGGTTAATACAATCAAAAGTGTGCCCTTTTTTAAGTTAAAAAGTGGTGCACTGTAAACAACAGAAAAAAATGAAATAAATAAGACAAAAATTATATGAACCAGTCAAACAAAACTGATGCATTAAGCATTGTTGCGTTCTACATTAATCTTATAGATTTTGCTTAAGCCATGATACAAAGTTGTCCATCATCCTGTGTCCAATATCAAAGTCTGTGGGCCACGTAGTGAACATTAGTGCGCCATGAAATCCACCGGGGTAATGTTCATGTGTGACATCAACTCCAGCATTACGCAAGCGTGTGACATACATCAAGCCATCATCCCGCAGTACATCATACTCGCAGGTCAACACATACGCCTTCGGCAGTAAACGCAAGGTTGTATCAGGCACCAGCAATGGCGAGGCTCTTGGATCTGCAAGCAAGTGATGTGGACCAATAGAGCGCACTGAACTTTTTCCAGTAACCACAGTTGGAGCACTGTAATTGTATGCCTGGCTATATGAATCAGGTAAGTATGAACTCCAATTGACAAACTTAAGCAAAGCAGCTGATTCATGGTTGTTGTGTCTGTTTGCCATCATGGCTCTCAAAAATGACTTGTCGCTGGTGAAGTATTCGCTCCAAAACCTCACCATCAGTGTGCGGGGCAGTATAGGCATGTGCTGGTTCTGCTGGTAAGAGGGAGTGTTCAGATCCAAGGCTTGCAGAACAGGGTAGATTAGAGCCTGGGCCTTTAGCTGGACATGCTGTTCTGGGTCCTTCTGCAACTGAGTATACATACAAATCAATTAAACATATGAAGATTATTTATTAGTCTGTAAAAAAAACAAGAACTTCAGTTTAATTGTTGCCAAAACATTTTGTGTTCTGCAAGTTGCAACCTGCAGTAATGTTTTTTTTTTTTTTTGGTTTCACTTTATTTTGATGGCCCCTTTAACACATTCTGTTGACTATATGTAACGTTGCACCTACATGTCTAATAACTCTCATTAGAGTGTTAGTAGAGTATTAGTAGACTGGTAGGGTTAGGGTTAGAATAAGTTGATGTACTTGCAAAATTACTTATACTAAGTAGAATGTCAGCTGGGAGACATCACAATAAAGAGTTAAGCGGCAGATATTAAGCATAGTAGTCTATTAATACTCTAATGTGAGTTAGTAGACAGAGTGTTCAAAAGAGACCATCAAAATAAAGTTTTACCCTTTGTTTTTTTTTAAGCATGGCTGAAGAAAATTTTAAATGTGAAAACTAACAGTAATTATGGTGACAAGTTAAATACACTGCTCAAAAAATGAAGGGGACACTTAAATCACACATTGGATGATTAACTAAATATTCTAGTTGAAAATCTTTACTTATGTGCATTTTATAATTTGTTGAGATCAAAATGATGTGACGATGGGACCATGGAAACTAAAATCATCAACCCACTGAAGGCTGGATTTAATAGCAAACCAAAAATCTAAGTAAACAATTTAATTTACAGGTTGATCGAACACGCATGAATTTCATCAAAGTAACTCGTTATGTAAATCAGTAGCGTGTACGGCGCCCACATGCCTGAATGCACTCCCTACAACGTCTCGGCATGCTCTTGATTAGATGGTGGAATTCCTGGAGGATTCCTGGGGAATCTCCTGCCAGACCTGGATCAGGGCGTCAGTGAGCTCCAGAACAGTCTGTGGTGCTACTTGGCAGCTTTGGATGGATTCAGTTCAATTGGATTCAGGTCTGAGGAATGTGAAGGCCGGTCAATGGCATGAATGCCTTCATCATCCAGAAACTGCTTACACACTCTGGTCACATGAGGCTGGGTATTGTCATGCACCAGGAGGAACCCAGGGCCCACTGCACCAGCGCAAGCTCTGACAGCGGCTCTGAGGATTTCATCCCGGTACCCAACAGCAGTAAGGGAACCATTGGCTAGCTTGTTGAGGTCTGTGTGAAGAATATTCCTCCCAAGACCATCACAGACCCACCACTAAACTGGTCATGCTGGATGATGTTGAAGGCAGCATAACATTCCCCACAGCATCTCCAGACTCTTTCATGTCTGTCACATGCTCAGTGAAGAGAATAGGGCACCAATGGTGGACCTGCCAATTCTGGTGTTCTCTGGCAAATGCCAATCAAGCTGCATGGTGCTGGATTTTGAGCACAGGTCCAACTATAGGATGTCAGGCCCTCATGCTACCTTCATGCCTGAAATTCTGGAGGTTTTTGTGGGGCTCTGGCAGTGATCCTCCTGTTCCTCTTTGCACAAAGGAGCAGATACCGGTCCTGCTGCTGGGTTGTTGCCCTTCTATGGTCCTGTCCAGCTCTCCTCGTGTAACGGCCGTCTCACTGTGTCTCCGCCATGCTCCTGAGACTGTGCTGGGAGACACACCAAACCTCATTGACACAGCACTTATGGAAGTGCTATCCTGGTGGATCTGGACTACCTGTGCAACCTGATTGGGTTGCAGTTACTGCCTCATGATACGAGATTGGTGCTACTGGCTGGCTCATGCTTTTTAGGGGGCAGGCCTAATGGTTAGAGTCAGACTTGTAACCAGATGTTTGATTCTCAGTACCGGCAGAAAATGAGGCCTAAAATGAGGTGGGGGAGTAAATGAACAGTGCTTTCTTCCACCTTCAATACCCACGACTGAGGTTCCCTTGAGCAAGGTACCGAACCCCCAATTGCTCCCCAGGCAATGCAGCAAAAATGGCTGCCCACTGCTTCGGGTGTGTGTTCACTACTCACTGCTGTGTGTGTGCACTTTGTGACAATGTCATTCAAGACACATGTTTTAATCTACTCAATATGTATTATGATGGTTTTATATATATTTGAGTTTTATGGATTTACAGTACATGATGTCTTAGCCATTTTATTCCTCTTACCTGTTTTAATGTGTATATGTCTTTAAATGAGTTTGGGTCTGCTTTTCATGTGACTGATCACATGACAGGAAACAGGAAGTAAAGCAGCATAAAGGAGGCAGCATGGCAAGCAAACAATAGGTGTGTTCGACTTCATGCGGCACTGCGCAGACCGATTGGCGGCTGACTTGAAGCAGTGCAAGCCGGTCAGAAATTTTGTCCGACTTGAGACAGCGCCGATGCCACGTCACTGTGACGTATAGCATCAAAGTACCACGAGAGCGTTTCGAGAGCAGTCAGCTGACTCAGCCAGCGCAGTTTCTCCAGAGCGACTGCAGGAGCGCTGATGATGACACAGCTGTTTCACGATTGGATCAAATTCACCACATGATAACGATGATGTGTGTTTAGGGTTTATTCTGACACCTTCAGTTCCACTAATGCTCACAAATCTGTGTTTTTATAACAGCAAAAGCTCTTTTACTGTAGTTGCAATGTTATATTGAGTCACGTTTATCAAAAAACACTGCTAAAAGTATATATAGGCCTACTTTATTGGTATTTAAATAGTATATATTTGTGTTGAACTTTATTTTTGTACAGATGGCGCTGCATTAAGCAGTATATGAAATGTATTTTTGTTGTTTCATGAAAACGTTTCCGAAACGTCTATGTATTTTACAAGTATTGCATTTGATTCACTTCATCTGTGATACAGTATGCAAACACTGAGAGAGCATCACTACGGGAAGCAGAAAGTGTCCAACTTGATGACTCCGCTTTCAATTCTGCCCCCGACTGCAAGCGGCTACTCTCGCCGATCGGTCTGCGCAGCACTGCATGAAGTCAAACACACCTAATCTCTCACTTACAAATGCAAAAAATGTGTTTTATACTGACTTACCTTTTCAAATACAAGCTTTTGGACTTTCAATTGGATTGTAAATACACTGTTGGACATTTGTATTGGGACTATCAACACACTGGGACTCATTCAGACTGTTTTAGGTTATGGTGTTATGGACTTTTATCAGCCTGAGGTTCCTAGTTTTATTATGTTGTTTTAAGTCTCATGTGAATATTGTAAATACACCACTGGTTTTCACTTTACAACTTTCGTCTGTCTCATCTTTTTAAACACTTCAAGCTCTCACACAGTATAATCTGACACTATTTTAATCAATGTAAATTCGACCGATAGGGCTTAACGTTACAACTTGGATGGGATAAATCCAGAGCATAAATACCAAGTATGGGTTACCATACTTGGCTACAGGTCATGTCACTTTACTGTAGGGTTGGGTACCGAAACCCGGTACCAATATGGCACCGGTACCTATGTAACCGGTATGTACTAGAACCGAATCCAAAGGCAGATTTCGGTGCCTCATTTCGGTGCCATGCCTGAGCGATCGATTGAAATATTTGTCCTCTGGTTCTCCGAAACGGACGCAAGAAGCATCATCACTGGCACCGCATGTGAAAAATAATTTCCCGACTGAGAAAATGCACGTGAACTCAAGTCGGAAAGCTCTAATAATACAAATCTTTGTAGTAACGAGAGTGTCCATGTTGTTTTCACATTCCGACTTATTAGCACAACTCGGGAAATGAAAGCATCCGAAGAGCACGCGCATGAATGCAGTAATTGCACTTGCTCTGATGGCAGCAGGTAGCCTTCCGTTAACTAAGCTAAACATGCTTAAATTAAAATGCCTAAAGCTAAACCTCCCTTGTATTCACATTTCTAAACCTGTCGTCCAATAAAAGAGAACGTTATAACCTTTTTACTCCACAACACCAGTCAAATGCTTCCTTTTGTGATCTGACGAGGCTTCTTGTCACAGAATGAGGCAGAAAATATGTTCCATATGCTACTTTAAAAAGAATACATCGATTAGCGTGACCATACGTCCTCTTTTTCCCGGACATGTCCTCTTTTTGGACCTACAAAAATGTGTCTGGCCGGGATTTCTTAGTTGCCCAAAAATGTCCGGGATTTGGCTGTTTTCTTAATCCCGCTCCCGCTGAATCTCTGACCATTGCCCCCTGCTCCCGCAACATGTGTTTTGCTCCCGCGATTTTCGTGTCCACTCCTTTAAACATTCTAATATTGTATATAATTTTGGCGC